TTTTGTGATCCTGTGGACTGTAACCCACGGGGCTATGGAATTTTCCTCTGTCCGTGGGTTTCCCAGGCAAGAACACTGCAGTAGGTTGCCATTTCCTTCTCCAGGGGATCTTCCCAACCCATGGATCAAATCCACATCTGCATTGGCAGGCAGATTCTTTATAGCTGACCACCAGGGAAGCAATAAAATCTCTGATATATCCCTAATAAATAACATTGCTAGCTGGAAGAATCTATTTCCAAACATGAGTTTGAATGTTGAGTGTGTATATCCATCTCTTTTATGTTGAAACAAATTCTCAGAAACTCAGTTTTTAAATATCAGTAACAGTAGGTACTCAGATGTATGTATTTAATAGACATCAATATTTTTTTCTCTTGTCTTTCTATTGTAAAAACCTACCCAGTTCATTCAAGTTACTTAATCATGTTGACTTACTGTATAGCCATCTATTAACATAAGGAAGGTGCATTTAATTGACTCCTGAGTGTTGTGGCAGAGATATAATCTGCCATTTCTGTCTGTGGCTTCCTGTACTTGACACCTACACATCCACATAGCCTTAGGTGACCCTAGAAGTATAGGCTTTGTGCCACAATAAAAGTAATTTTGTTTTAGTAAGTACCAAGAAGCTGGAATATTTCTTTTACTTGAAGATTTAGAGAGGAAAACATTTTTATTTAAAATAAACACATTATTCTTTTTGAGAAGTAAAGTTGATGTGAAATTTTTAATGTTTAATGACAAAGCTCTAATGAGAGCCCGTTGAGGCTGCCCTGAGGCAAGCACCCTCCTCCCCAACATAGGCACATTCATACAAACTCCAGTCATTCTCTTCTATTGAGCTTTGTAGGATTTATGCATAAGAAAACTTGAGGTATACAAGGCCACTGTGCACCCTTGGTGGGCCTTGGTCAGTCTGCTATCATGCAGGGTACAGCCAGGACACAACAGACAAAGCTTCAACCAACTGCTGGCCTAAGCTGATTCTGACCACGAAGGAAAACTATTATAACCTTTTTGGGGTGCCCACTCTGTGAGAGATACTGCAGCAAGTGCTTTACATTTAAGCCATTCAAATCTTCTAACCATTTATCAGCTAAATATTTCTTCCCTACAGTCTATGGGATTGCAAAGAGTCAGACGTGACTGAGCAGACACATACTAATGCTAGTGCATTTGAGTTTTCTATTATACCACTACTTCCTTTCCAGGCAATAATTGGCCAGTTGATTCAGCAGCACTCATTAATTTGTTGTCAAGTAGTGTGGCTTATTGGAGAAGGCAATGGCACCCCACTCCAGTACTCTTGCCTGGAAAATCCCATGGATGGAGGAGCCTGGTAGAGTGTGGTCCATGGGGTCGCTAAGAGTTGGACACGACTGAGCGACTTCACTTTCACGTCTCACTTTCACACATTGGAGAAGGAAATGGCAACCCACTCCATTGTTCTTGCCTGGAGAATCCCAGGGACGGGGGAGCCTGGTGGGCTGCCATCTATGGGATCGAGTCGGACACGACTGAAGTGACTTAGCAGCAGCAGTGTGGCTTATTAACAAGTATTGGTCATATAAATTGGTTGTATGACTTTAGACAAGTCATTTTACTTCTGGGCACTAACACCTTGCAGGTTTATTGTACAGTTGGATTTGGTGGTCCCTAAGATTCCTTGGGTCCTCAGAAGATCTTCTAATCCTCATTCACCTCTTCACATTGTGCCTCATCCTCATTATCCCTTGCAGCTTTTCCTTTTGTGGTGCCTTACTTCTTTTTTTTTTTTTTTTTTTCCTAGTTACTATTTAAACAAGTATTTTTTTTTTTTTTACATGTATTACTTCTTAAGTGAACTGCAGCCATGCTCTCTTAGAGTTTTGAATGTCAAAGAGTCACAATTAAATCACAGAATTTCTGCAAGAATGCAAAGAATTTTGCTGCTTACTGAGTGCTGCCATCTTGTGTCTACCATTTTATGAGAGAAAAAATTTTAAATGAGAAAAATACTATATTTAAGTATTTTTTGGTTTGTTTTGGGTAGATTTTTTTTCTTAAGCCTAGTCATTGTATTTAGTGGCCCAGCACCCTTGGTCATATTGAAATGACAGTGTCAGTTAGAAAACAGTTTGACACTTGTTTGTAATACCTCCTTTTTGTTATCCTATAGTCAAATACAGTATAGTTGAGATATTAAAACTAATATGAATCTATGTTGGGGTTCAAAATAATTCCATTTTTAAAGTAATTTTTGAAGAATTAGTGTAAGATGTGACTTCTTCTGTGATGTATGCTCAGCAGTATTAGTATTGCATCTCTTGGTGGTTAGACCCCATTATGTGCAGTTGTTCACCTTAAAACTGTGCTGTCCTATTTACATTTGTTGTCCTATTGACAACAAAAATGTCAAAGGAAGATGGAAGAGCAATACAGGAAGTGTTTTTTGCTGTGATGTAGTCACTTGTACCAAAAAAAAAAAAGTTTAAATGAAACTGACTTTAAAAACAGATGACACTGAGAATTTTGGCATTGATCTTTCAGATGTCTTTAAAAATAGTCTGTCACCCTTTATAGACATTTGCTTTTAACAGACAATGTGTGTTTCTTTGAACCTGTTAAATGGCTTATTACAACTTTTGTTCTTTTGTACTTTTAGAAACCTAGAATGTGATTTTTAAAAATTACTGTTTTACATCCATGGAGTGTAGCTTTGGAAGAAAACTCTAAAAATCATAGTTCTTGGAGGCAAGAATTCCCTGGTTTCTGTTACTGGGCAAACTTTTAAAATGAAAATCATCATCTCCCTTACAACATTGACCATATACTCGGTTCTTATTATATATCTATTCCCTTGCTTTCTTCTTCCTTCTGCTTTTACAGCTGAAGAGTCTAGGTGGCCTCATGACTTACTCAGGCTCATAAGACAAGTGTATGTCAGAATTGTCTAGAACTAGGTGTTCCGGCCCTTGTTTAGGGAAAGAAAACAGTAAAGTCACCAACAGTAGTATTTTTAATTTCCAAATTACTGTGTAGTATTTCATTTCCCTTGGCTACTTTGTTAAAATATTTTGTTTTAATTTTAGGCTGCTAAGAGGTATGATATATTTGATCCAAGACAGTCCATTTCAGTCCGGGAATCTACAGTGGTGACAAGGACATGGGACTCCTCCTGCCAGATTCCAAATGGGTCAAGACAATTGACATCCTGGCTGACAACTGTGAAAAAGAACCTTGGATTATTTTATTTTATTTTTGTGGAACACCACAATCCCAAATCCATAGGACACATCAGGTAACCTAACCTCTCTTATCATTTGAGAAAAATTATAGATTTTTCTTTCAAAATCATAAGCAATCAGAGTACTTTAAATAAGCCCTTCCCCCTTAGTAACTTTACTGTTTTAAGAATGAATCACTTAACTTTGGTATGAATATAATCAAGAAAGACTTTTTTTTTAAGCTTTTCAGATGTATTTATGGATTCCTAAGATAGGTTTAGGTATTTCATGGCAAAAAATTCTTTTAGGAAAAGAACTCCTGAATTTTCCATATAGAAAAAACAAGATCCACTGGATTTTTCCCTTCTCAAGATTTAATTATGAAATTTTTAGAAACACAGAGAAGTTGAAAGAATTTTACAGTGAACAACCGTTGGAACAGCATCGAAACATGTATATTATCTAGGGTGAAACAGATCACCAGCCCAGGTTGGGTGCATGAGACAAGTGCTCAGGCCTGGTGCACTGGGAAGACCCAGAGGGATCGGGTGGAGAGGGAGGTGGGAGGGGGGACCAGGATGGGGAATACATGTAAATCCATGGCTAATTCATTTCAGTGTATGACAAAAACCACTGCAATGTTGTAAAGTAATTAGCGTCCAACTAATAAAAATAAATGAAAAAAAAAAATAACCGGTTGAACAACCACCCCTGCATTCTACCATCAACATTTTATTATACTTGCTTTAACCTGCATCTGTCCATCTGTACCCATCCCTCTACCTGTCCATCAGTTCATCTTCATTTTTCTGATGTGTTTTGAAATAGGTTGTTCTTACCACACACACATACAAATTTAATTATGTGAGGTGATGGATTGCATTACTCGTTTCACAATATATATGTGTATCAAATCATCATATTGTACACCTTAGGCTTATATGTTATTATGTATCAGTTATATCTCAATAAGTCTAGAAAAAAGTAGCAGATGGTGTATAAGTTCTGCTCTTCAGGTTCACATATCTCACATGTCCTAAGTTCCTATTTGATATTCAGTGTAAAAGTTCCCATTGTTGTCTTAAAATCACTGAAGATATGAAACATATTGGCTTCTTTTGTATTTGATCTCCTCTGAAGTACTAAAGCATCTGGTAATGTATGTTGTTTGGCCCTGAGTCACGTAAATCAGGAGAGTTTTCAATGCTTGATTCATAATGCTGGACAGTTAGTGCAAATTCACAACTGTTTTGTATAGAATGTCGCTATTTTTTAAGTTACTTCCTTTTGGAATTCCAGGTTAATTTAAGAAATTAGAAATTTTAGGAATGCTAGATGAACTCTGAAGCTATGACAGGAAGATTTTTTTCCACGGGACAATACTCATAATATCGCTTCAGATAAAAACGTTTCTGATGTCAACCAAGTATATATCTGTAACTCTCCATCCATTACCTTTCATCTGGATAGGACATATTCCTTAATGTTTCTTATGAACTTTCACAGTGGTGTGCATATCAAAATCACCTCATACTCTTATTATATCCCTTATCTCATTGTCTTATGATTTTTTTTTAATTTGGATATACTTGCCACTAAACTGTATGCCCTTTGGAAGCAGGAATTTTGCATTTATCTGTGTATATTTGACATTATTCCTGGAACATAGAAGATACTTAGTCAATGTTCTATACTAACTAAATGTAAAGGATGTCTCAAACTGAATTAAAATTTTTTTCTTGCTTGCTAAGGCTTCAAGTTCCCTGTAGAATTCTAAAATAACCTTTGCTAATGAGGATGTCTGATACTGTTACTATAAAAAATGAAACTGAAACAATGAAGGATTTGGAGGCAGAAGTGAAAGATACAACTGGAGTTGAAAATGTTACCAAATCAGAAAACTATGGGAAGATTCTGGCAGAGAAGAATGAGCGTTGTATTGACAACAATATTGATTTGCAGGTAAACAAGATTTTTTCCTCTGGCTACAAGTATTAAATATTCAATAATACATAATTATACTTTTCATACTAAACTCATTTTCAGAATTGTATAAGGCTAAGGTGACCCTTTGTGACATGCCTACCAGCTGCTTTGGGTGGTCATCTGGATTAACTTGTTGAATTTAGTTCTTTGATTTGCTTGTATCACCTATTTCTTTTTACTTGTATGTGGCCAATATTGTTTTTCTAGTGGCTTTACACTTTTTCATTCCATTTTGCACCTATCAGTGTTGTGAGAGTTCAAAATAACCTAAGATTAGAGATTAGAATAGAGAGATTGAAACTGCAGGAGTTCTCTTGGCAAAAACAGCCCTGGGGAAGTAATCAATCAGCTGTGACTGAGGGAGAAAAAAGATTGGTGAAGAAAAAAGGTCACTTGAGGCTTTGGATGCTACACATGTATGATGACCTAGCACTAACCACTGAGAAGGCTTTTAATTCCAGGCATAGATGAAAATTGATGATGGTCCACAGATTCCAGGTAGGTAAAAATTGTGTCAAGTAGTCCTTAACAATGCTTACTTTTATGTGTTCTTATTATTTGTTGCTGTACAATGGATGATCACAAAATAAGGGTTTGCAATTTTAAAATAACATTTTCTTTTTTAATGTCTCATGATTTGTGTGTCGGGAAATGGAGCAATGGCTTGACTAAGTGAATCTTGTCCATACAAGGTATCAGACGAGATCCCTCACTGATATTTAAATGTCAGGTGGGCTGGCCTGGAAGGTCCATAACTGTTTTGCTCACTTATCTGGCTTGTTGATGGCAACAGCTGGAATGTAGGCTGAGCTAGAACTAGGATCACATACCTTGATTGCCTCCAACACAATCAGCACAGGTAATCAGACTCATTATAGGCTGCTCAGGGGTTTCAGAAAGAATGTTCCAAGAGCCAAACAAAGCTGCAAGCATCCTTGCGACCTAGGCTTAGAAGTCCCAGAATGTCACTTCCACTGTTGTCTTTTGATAACACTTGTTAGTAAAGCCAGCCCAGATTCAAGGGGAAGGGGTATTTGACCCTGTCTCTCAGTAGGAAAGACCTTTAATCTACCATAAACTGTTAACTTAAAATACTGTCTGATACTTCTGTTTTAGTTAGCCCTATACTGCTAAGTCACTTCAGTTATGTCAGACTCTTTGTGACTCCATGGACTATAGCCCACCAGGCTCCTCTGTCCATGGGATTCTCCAGGCAAGAACGTTGGAGTGGGTTGCCGTTTCCTTCTCCAGGGGATCTTTCCAACCCAGAGATGGAACCTGTGTCTCTTATGTCTCCTGCATTGGCAGGCTGGTTCTTTACCACTAGTGCCACCAGGGAAGCCCATAAACTGTTAAATTAAAATACTATGTCTTATACTTCTGTTTTAGTTAGCCCTAGAAATAAAGAATTCTATTTGGGGAGAAAAATACTCTTATCATTCTTTCTACATCCTAAAGACCTTGAAGGCTTTGTGCCAAAATTTATACTTTATTTTTTTAGAATAAATTAAGAAGGTTCTTTGAAAGGTTGTTTTATTCTTTAATTCACTCAAAAACTTTATTCTTCATTATGTGCCAGAAATGTGTTAGAAAATGATATCAACTCATACAACAGTAAAAAAGCACTTAGATCCCACTGCTTAAGTGTGGTCAGGTGGCTATTACCTAAGAGATTTGGAGGAATAACAGTTTCTCTAGTCATTTTTAGAAATAGCACTTTTTAAAACAAAAAATTGTCATGCCTGCCATCAGTACACCCATTGATGGCAGAAAGTTAGTATCCTGATTGGATCAGAGAAAATGCTTAAATTCTATTGCATTTGTGATTGAAATGGTAAAAGATATCTTTCTAGTCTCTTTTCTACACCTAAGGTTCACTCTTCCAGGTCATGTTTCTCAACAGGCAATTAACTTAGATTATGGCATACACTGAATTTATTGCAGGTTTGTTTCCAGACCACTGCAGTAAAGCAAATAACACATTAAAGCGAGTCACACAGATTTTTTGGTTTCCCAGCACATGTAAAGAAACTATACTGTAGTCTGTTAAGGATGCGGTAGTGTTATGTATATAAAAAAAATAGTTAGGCCTTAATTAAAAATACCTTATTGCTAAAAATGCTAACCATCATCTGAACCTTTGACAAATCATAATCTTTTTGCTGTTGGAGTGTTTTGCCTTGATATTGGTGGCTGTTGACTGATCAGAGTGGTGGTTGCTAAAGGTTACTGGCAATTTCTTAAAATATGGCATTGAAATGTGCTGCATAAATTTACACTTCCTCTCATGTCCAGTTTCTCTGTAGCATGCAATGATGTTTGATAGCATTTTACCTACAGTAGAACTTCTTTCAAAATTGGAGTCGGTCCTCTCAGACTGTCGATGCTCCGTCAGTGAAGTTTATATAATATTCTAAATCCGTTGTCACTTCAGTAATGTTCACAGCATCTTTACTAGGAGTAGATACCATCTCAAGAAACTACTTTGCTCACCCCACACAGGAAGCAATTCCTCATCTGTTAAAGGTTTATCACGAGATTACAACAATTCAGCTACATCTTTAAGCCCCACTTTTTTTTTTTTTAAGGATAGTGTTTTTCATTCTCTCTCTCTTTTTTTTTTTTATATTTATCTATTTATTTTTGGCCTTGTCAGGTCTTAGTGGCAGCCTGCAGGATCTTTGTCGAGCTGCACAGGCTTCTCTCCAGTTGTGTTGTGTGGACTCAGTAGTTGAGGCACATGGGCCTAGTTACCCTGTGACTGGGATATTAGTTCCCCAACCAGGGATCGAACCCATGTCCCCTGCATTGCAAGGCAGATTCTTAACCACTGGACCACCAGGAAAGTCCCCAGGCCCCACTTCTAACTCTCTCTCTGTTTCCACTCCATATGCAGTTACTTCCTCCGCTGAAGTCTTGAACCCCTTAATGCCATCCGTGAGGGTTGGAATGAAACTTTTCCAAACTCCTATCAATGTTAATATTCTGACCTCTTCCCATGAATCACCAGTGGCATTTGGTTGGTGACTCTTTCCAGAGGCTTTCTGGGTTTTGCCCAGATCCATCCGAAGAATCACTATCTCTGGCAGCTATAGCCTTACAGAATGTATTTCTAAAGTAATAAGAGTTAAGAAATTGAAAGAACTTGAAAGTTGAAATTACTCATTGATCCATGGGCTACAGAATGATGTTGTGGTGTTAGCAGGCATAAAAATAATATGAATCTTGTACATCTCCATCAGAGCTCTTGGTGACTAGGTGTGTTGCCAATGAGCAGTAGTGTTCTGAAAGGAATCCTTTTTCTGAGCAGTAGGTCTCAACAGTGCACCTAAAATATTCCGTTATCCATGTTGTAAATAAATGTGCTATCATCTAAGCTTTGTTGTTCCATTGATAGAGCACAGGCAAAGTTCCTAAGGGCCCTAGGATTTTCAGAGTGGCAAATGAGCACTGACTTCAGCTTAAAGTCACCAGCTGTGTTAACCCCCAATAAGAAAATCAGCCTGTTCTTTGAAGCTTTGAAGCCAGTCATTGACTTCGAAGTCCTAGATGGCGTCTTTTTCCAATAGAAGGCTGTTAGACCTGGCTAGCTTGCTGCAGCTTCTTCTTCAGGACTTGCTGTTTCACCTTGCATTTTTATGCTGTGGAGATTTCCTTAAATTCTGTGAACCAGCTTCTGCTGGCTTTAAACTTCTACATCTTCCTCACTTCACTCCACCTTCATGGAACTGAAGAGAGTTGGGGCTTTGCTCTAAATTAGGCTTTGGCTGGTTTAATTTTCTATCCAGACCACTAAAACTTTCTCAATATCAAACAGTAAGGAAGTTTCACTTTCTTTTTATTCATGTTTTCCCCTGGAGTAACATTTTTAATTTCCCTCAAGAACTTTTCCTTTGTAGTCACAACTTGAATAGTTGTTTGGCAAACAGGCCTAGCTTTCAGCCTGTCTCAGCTTTCAGCATACCCTCCTCACTATGCTTAATTTCTAGCTTTCAGTTTAAACTGAGAAAGATGTGACTCTTCCCTTCCCTTGAACCCTTAGATGCCAGTGTAGGGTTATTAACTGGCCTGCTTTCAGGATCTTTGTGGCTCAGGGAATAGGGGTCCCTGGGGAGGGGAGAGACTGGCAACAGCTGTCTGGTTGGCGGAGCAGCCAGAACACACGCCACATGTATTGGTTAAGCTTGCCATCGTATGTGGGTGTAGTTTGAGGCACCCCAAAATAATTGCAGTAGTAACATCAGAGGTCACTGATGACAGATCACCATGACAAATAAAATAATAATGACAAAGTTTGAAATATTGTGATAATTGCCAAAACATGACAGACACAAAGAGAGCAAACACTGTTGGAAAAACGGTGCTGCTTGAAGCAGGGTTGCCACAAACCTTCCATTTGTAAAAGCACAGTATCTGCCAAGCACAGTGAAACGAGGTGTGCTTGTATTACATTTTCTGCCATGTCTCTTGTGCTGCTCTTGGCAGTAAACACAAAAAAGTTCTGATGACCACTATTGAATCGTGGCTCAGTGGTTCATACTGCAGGAGAATTTCATGCCGCAAACACTTACTGAAAACCTATTCCATGGCAAGGAAATAGTGTAATAAGGAAAAATGGGCCTGGTCTCTCATATCACGTTCCATATAGCATGGTGAATATAAAGACTGGGAAGAGGAACAAAGAGAATATGAGAGTTTGTTTTATGTTAATCCACTGAAATGCTGTATTCCTTGTTTATTCAAATGTTTATTAAGATTTTACTTTTATGTGGATATATTTACTCTGCTTGGAGATTTTGAGGTTCAGTATGCCTCTATGCAAGGTATCTGGCAAGGGGTTTACAGTCGAAATAATGTACACAGAGATTTAAGTAATGGAAATTAGGAGTGGAAGTAGATAAAATTAGAAAAAAATTTTTATGTTTTCATATAAATAAGTCAACTCTTTTAAGAATGAAAAGGGAATAGAGTGTCCT